TGGTCTGAATATAAGACAGTGTTTTTTTGCATTGAAATTAGACTGAAAAAGTGGGGGCCGTCTTATATTCGGGCCAATACGGTACCATATATGGTTCCCACTTCAGTCAACAAATATGGTAAGGTAACCATATACTTGCTAAAATCAAATAGTTTGCCACTTTTAGTTACCCAAAATGTCTCCCACTTCAGTTACCAAATTTACTTCCTTCATAGTCCATCAAAAATGGTTCCCACCCCAGTTTACCCAGCACGGCTCCTACTTTGGTTATCATAAATGTTTGCCTCTTAAGGTTCAAAAATGTGGTTCCCACTTCAGTTACTACAAAATGATTCCTACTTTGGGAACCAAAAATGGTTCCCAACTTCATGAAAAAAAAAAAAAATATGGTTCATAGCATTTGTGGCTGCCGTATTTCTTGTATTTGAAGGTCTCTCACCTTCTTGGTCTTGTCCATGGCCTTCAGTATGGACATGTTGAGGTCCTCCAGGGCAGCCAAAACATTCTTGTATTCTCCGAGGTGCTGCGAGAAGTATTCTTTAAGCGTTTGGATTTGATAAAAATAAATAAATAAATACAACAAGAATAAAGGCAAGTTCACTTACCACAGAGTTCATCTGTGTCCACGTTGCTGGAGCGCAAACACACACAGTGACATCATTAAAATGAATCATAGCAGCACGTGTACAATTCCTAGAAAAGCTACATTTTAAAATTTGCTATTCGCGGCTGGCCGGCCACAATCTCCCGCAAGGGTCGATTGTCATAATCAATAATGAAATCCAATCAATACATAAATATGTTGGAAAGGTGAAGCAATGTATCTGTCACGAAATAAACCACAACATAAAATCTGTGTTTTTGAAAGGATTAGAACTGCTACTATGTCGAGGTTAGTTTCATTAGCCTATCAATGGCATTTCCCATTATACGCTAGCCTTAAGCTAACGTCATTTCATAACACTTTGAACAGCTTGCGTCGCAAAAAAAGTGCAGGTAACCCTTCAGGAGCCCAAATAACCTGATCTGACAATTTGTGAAAGAATACGTTGCTTCCATTGTTGAAAAATCAAACATTGGAGACAGGAAGTCACATGCAAACAAGCAAACAACCCACAAGTCTCCCTTTTTTTTTTTGGCGGAGGTAATAATAACTTCCAGAGAGATTCATTTGCGTACTGACGGCTTCCATTGTTGAAAATCAAACATTGCAGACAGGAAGTCACATGCAAACAAGCAAACAACCCACAAGTCTCCCTTTTTTTTGGCGGAGGTAATAATAACTTCTAGAGAGATTCATTTGCGTACTGACACCACTGAATATTTCATGTGCCCCAGCTTACTTGTGATTGAAAGATTGAGTTCAAGCTTCCTGATGGAGCCCGACATGCGGCTCAAAGGTGCGTTGTGATTGGCAGATGATGATGGCATGACGGCGACTCACTCTGTGTGGTGGTGCCCCAGCTTACTTGTGATTGAAAGATTGAGTTCAGGCTTCCTGATGGAGCCCGACATGCCGCTCAAAGGTGCATTGTGATTGGCAGATGATGGCATGACGGTGACTCACTCTGTGTGGTGGCTGTCGATGGCGTGGAAAAGCTCCTTCAGTTCCTCTGACGTCAGGACGCCGTCCGAGAAGTAGGCCTTGAACTCGTCGAAGGACAGTTTGCCGTCATCTGGGGTCAGACACCCATATCGTAACAACATACTCCAGTGTAATATTACACAGAAATATACATGGAGAAAGTCACAACCCCTCAGTAAGCTGCAGTAATATTTCTCGGTCTTCGCAGGGGATAAAGAATATTTGCCTGTGAGTACTGTTACTTCTGTCTACAAGTTGTTCCACCATTTGTGTTCAAATATCCATCGCTTAAAAGGGTTCCAAAACCACCAGATAGATGCTAATCATTAGCGTGTCAATGGCACTTTGCATTTTTTGTTAGCATTAGGCTAAACAGGCTTTCTTTAGGCAGAGCTCCTTGGTTGTTTTAAATCACTAACGTGGAAGAATTGTTCACCAATTTATTTGTTGTGAAATGAGCTGAGTTGAATTCACTCCCATTGAATTTTTAGTGTGTTGTATTTTTTTTCAATGATTTAAGCGGTCTCTTTTTTTAAAGTGACACCATTCCAAAGGCTGCCAGTCCTTCACTTGTGCGGCTGGAAACTATTTGGCAGTTTTTCTTGATGAAAAAGCTCCAATGGTGATGTGTCTGGTCACTTTGCTGTCTCCATGGAAACCGGCCATCAGCGGGGAATCACCATCTGAATACTGTATTGCCGAGACTATCTGCTCCTGCCACGAGAACAAGACATGTCGTAAGACATACTTACCGTTTTTGTCTGCTCGCCGCAAAATCTGGAAGACAGGAAAGACAGGTGACAGACAAATCATCAAACTTTGCGTGTGTGTGCGTGCGTGTGTGTGTGTGTGTGTGTGTGTGTGTGTGTGTGTGTGTGTGTATGTATGCGTGCGTGCGTGTGATCGATGACACGGCCAAAGTGGTGAATTGTTCAATTATTGATGTGGAAGTCCCACTTTGGACATGAAAGTGGTCTGACCGCTTGCCTTTGAACGTATCAGCCACTCGCTGGCTTGTTCCTTCCGTCGGGAAAATGACATCACCCACTTCACTTTCTCATCGGTACAACATGCACCCCCACAAACTTTTTGTTTATTACTCCTCGCAACAATGGACTTCACTTTCTCATCGGTACAACATGCACCCCCACAAACTTGTTACTATTACTCCTCGCAACAATGATTAGCCATATATTGGTTGTATAGTGGTTCACATAGCCTGTGATCCATGAAGCTGGCATCGGACTAATTTAACTCCTGTGACTGGACTCGGGATTAGTCTCCAAATTGTCTTCAGAGTTTATAAAACACACATAATGAGTTTAGTGGGGTACTGGTTGTGTAGTGGTTCACGCAGCTGATTTACATGCAGCTGGCTTGGGATCAATACCCACTCAGTTTCCACTCAATGACCGATGCCCATGACTGTGACTTATTAACAGTCAGTTTCTAACTGTCTCGCCCTTTTACAAAAACGCACAGTAGGTGGGCTGTTAGTCGTGTAGTGGTTCACATCATCGATTTATTTTAAGACGCCTCAAGGAAAAAAAAATTATAAATCATACCCTGCTGCCAGTTTCAGCAATCGTGATGAACACACGTCTATCATGACAAGAAGCACCAAAAAAATCTCAAGGACCCATATCCGAAATTGAACAGGAAGTCGGCTACAGTATTTTACTTTGAATTTGAATTGGCCTTGTAATTTGACAAACTCCAACACGGGAATTTGAGTCCCAATCTCACATACGCACACGCACACACACAAGCACATGCACACAGGTTTACGGAGTAATGCGAATATCGTAAGGTGCACAGACCAAATGTATGTATTTATATATAATATATTTCTTTTTTTTTCTACTTACATCAATGAAAATGGACATTCCCTTTTTCAGTTCAGTCTGGACACCAGGCTTCTCGCACTCAGGTGGGAATTCCTCTGAACAATTCATCGTCAAAAAAAATATTTTCTTCACCCCGTCTTGTAAACTGCGCAGGAATATGAATGACTGAATAAAACTGTGCTCTGCTTCTCGTTTTCTGTCGCTGGTCACAAGCAGACACTCTGAAAGCCATCAAGTTGCCGGATATACTCTCAGAACACTTCCGTCTTGGATTAAAAAATAAAAAAAAGAAACGTCGTTTTAGCCCCGAAAATTGAATTATTTCGAAGTAGTTGTGCCTAATTTAACAAGATCATCCTGTATAAAATATGTTAGATTTTTTATCTGTATGGACTCCTTTGAAGACGTCCCATTGACAACCGTACAGGCGGAACATGTTTGAATTCGATAGAAATACACGCTAAAATCCAGTTACTGTATCTCACTCAGGTTAACTTGATGTAGAAGCGTGAGTAAAATTTCTAAAATCCATATAATGTTGACTAATTTAACTGTTTGACACATGCACACACATAAATATATACGATTTGACGTCTCTTGCTGAAAATATGCTATTTTTTATTCTCTTGCTGCATAGTATTCATAGATGAGTTCCGAGCATGTCCACAATATATATTATTGTGTAATTCAGTTCAAGCTTTTAAATACATTTTTTCTATAAATGCCGTGGATTAATAAAACCATTTTTGCAATCGTGGCCTACAGTGTTCCATACTACCGCCATCAAAATATCCTTTCGAAAAAAACCTTCTTTGACTTAATAAAAACCACAGGTGACCACATTAATACGTCCTCAAATTAATCATAAGTGATTGCGCCACGGGAGCAGGTGATAAACTATGAAATAGCGTCACCTGATGGATGTTTGCGGTGGTACACACATTTTCATCATGATCGTTCCATTTTCTGTCACCCAAATCATTATTTGCTCGCGGCAAAACAAATGCAACCTCCCGTAAAAACTAACTACGACCCTAAAACCTAAATATATCCTCGTACGACATAATTAAAATCCGAATGTTTCGACTTATTTTTGGCTTTTTGTTTGATTTACGTTCACATCGAGAGTACAGACAGGGTCAGAGTACAAATCAGCGTAAATAATAATTAATCAGTGATAGCACACTGAATGACAACGCTGCGGTGTAGTTCCTAGATAACATAAGAGTAAATAAAGCATTATGTAATACAATTATATTTATTTAGGGTGTTCAAGATGCCACGAGCATTTCACCTACGTGTTAATGATACATTTTTGGCTCCATGTGGGATTAAAGGTACGGGTCAGTTTCTTTGAATCAACAAACATTTATATTCATATCAGGTGTGTAGTTTGTGACAAAATGAGCGCCATATAATATTGGCGCGTTTCTTTTGCTTATGTGAGAGTCAGCACGTCTGACGGGGAACGAGAACTCAAAGAAAAACAAACGGCACTCGTGGCCAAGTCTCGCGATGTCACACGCGAGCGCTGTGATTGGTCCGTCACGCCAGAGAAGAGGCGGCTTTGTGGTCACGTGCGAGGCAGTTGCTATTTGCTTGGCATCTGGCACACAAACAGCAGCACTTGGAACAACAAGAACAAGTACATGGAGCAGCAACGGCGGAGAATGACGTTCTCGTGTTGACGACAGGAAAAAACCCAAAGGATAAAGAGCGTGTTGTGTAGTATTGGAGGGCATTTTGACGAAATGTCTACGGCGGCGTAGGAACTTTAGCCCCGCGGCGAGCCAGGTATTAGCTAGCCGTGCCGTGATTTAACGCGATTACGCTGGACAGGGTGAGTGTTAACAAACACGTGTCTCCATGTTCCCCCCTCATTTCTTCGTTATTTTCTGCCGTCCAATGATCGTGCCATGATCCCTCGAACGTGTACGGGTCATGGTCCCCGCAGGGGTGATGACGTCACGACCACGCCCCCCAGCACCTGAGATTTTATTTTATTTTTTTTAAACATCAGGACAATTCATGTTTGTTATTGGCCACGAATGATGTCCGTGAATTCCAGTTTTCATCTAGTATGAATGAAAAAGAAGCCAGCTGGTGAACGGTGACAGGTGGAGTCCCGGCTGGCTGCCGCCCGCTTCCGTTTGGAGGGCCAACAATGTCGCTGTCGGGGTCCCCCCCTGGTGCGCAGCTGCTCTCAAAACTTGCCAAACATGCTGCCGGCAGGGCACATGTGCAGCTCAACCGATGGCTGCACAGGAGCGGTGGTGGTGGTGACGAGTGCGACAAGATGGACATGCTGGCGTGCGGCGGGGACTCAGACGCTGACCCCGAAGCGGCGGGCGGGCTCAGCGGGGAGTCCCGGCACCCATGTTTGGTCACCCCCTTCTGCCTGAAAAGCGCCCTCCTGGTGTGCATCCTTACCGGGCTGTGTTTCTCCTCTGTGGCGCTGGTGCGCCAACACCTGAAGGACCTCCTGCTATGGGTAGAGGGCCTGGACAGCCTGGCGGGGGCGCTGCTCTTCGTGGTGGGCTTCATCGGCGTGTCCTTCCCATGCGGCTGGGGCTACATCGTGCTCAACGTGGCGGCCGGCTACCTGTACGGCTTCGTGCTGGGCATGGGGCTGGTCATGGTGGGCGTTCTGATCGGCACCTTCGTGGCGCACCTGGCGTGCAAGCGGCTGCTGACGGACTGGGTGCTGCACAAGGTGGGCAGCAGCGAGCAGCTGAGCGCCGTCATCCGCGTGGTGGAGGGGGGCAGCGGACTCAAAGTTGTGGCCTTAGCGAGACTCACCCCCATTCCCTTTGGACTCCAAAATGCAGTTTTCTCTGTGAGTAGCCCAACCCAGCTTGATTTCTGTGGTGCATTCTATACACAAGGTGGTTCAATATGCTTCGCGTAGTTACGAAACAACATTTAAATGCAAAAGACTTGAAGGATTGAAGACATTAAAAAAGAAAAGATTTAAAGACATTTTAAAGCAAAGTAGAGGAATAACAAGTAGTTTACTGAGATTACTAAAAGCAGTTCTATTAGGCCTGGGCAAAAAATTTTTTTTATCGTCACAAATTTTTTGGGATGGACAATTTCAGAAGTGCAATAATAATTGCTTATCAAATTAATTGGTCTATTTTGAGTGTTTATTCATGTCATCTTCTGAGAATCCCAATTTACAACTTAACTATTGAAACCTGACGACTTGATTGTCACCATCGCCAGCTCTCATCGCCGTATCACTTTCATGCGTAGGCTGACCTTCTGACCTATCCTGACCTTCATCCATAATGTGATTAATGGCCAGTCACTGATGCCTTCCAATCAAACTCCAAAAGCCAATGCTTTGGTGTTCCTTTGGTGTGTCAGTAAATGAAAAATACAGAAAATATTTGGTGGGGAACTGAAGAATCTGAATGTCGGCAGAATCCTCCAGGGCAAGACTGCTGCTGTCATCGCTTTCTCCGATTTCAGCACAATGTACAGCAGCGCACATGCAGTGTGTGCTTGTCTTTCATTTGCCCTTTTTTACAACACTGACTCCTGTAAATAAGCAATGCCTCAAGTTCTGATAGTGGCCCTCACAAGCCACAAGATAGATGGACAGGGTTTTGCCCGCTGTTTTCGTGTTTAATTTCGAGATCTTCGCCTGTGGCAGTAAACGAGCCCACAAAATATAAACGTCCATCACCGTGGATGGGTCAGTGATGTGAGAAATATGAACCACGTTGATCAGTGCGCAAGATGTTCAGCGTACAGAGTTGAGGAAATGTGATGTTGGCGTTTCCCTCCCCAGGGTGCAATTCAAAAGTCATAAGACGTTGTTGGGGGGGGGAAAGCGGCCTTCTTTCCACCGCGTGTTCGTTGAATTTCGGACGAGGGGATTGTTGGTTCTTCAAATACAGGCTGGATTCGATGAACAGTTTCTTCGAAGCTTTTAATAACAGAATATTCCGGGCACCCGCGGTTTACAGACAATGGCCGCGTGTCACGAGTGCGAAGCAGGAAGAGATTCACATCATTTTTATATCATCAGAAGGGCGGCACCAAAACTCAAGGTGTGACATCATAACTTTCGTTTCTCCAAAACCGATTCTCAGCTTGGATCAACTAGCGCATTCCAATGTTTGTGCGTCTCCAGCAGGGAGTATTCCAATTTTAAGTGATGCCAAGCTACGCTGCGGGCGTGGGAAAGTTATACAGCATGACTGACACACTTCAACGTGAAGCAGGGAGGATTTCCTCAAGCTGTCGATAGCACGGTCGGAGCAAGTGATGGCAACCTGTCACTGAAGGTGGTCCTCTGCCTCCAGATAGCGCCGTACAACAACCATCGTCTGCTCTCACACAACCACCATTTTACAGTATTTTTAAAAATCAAAAGTCACTGAGGAGCGACGTCGTTGCGCAATAAGTCATTGATCTGCATTAGAGATCATGAGTGTTCACCGTGGGTTTAAAGTCTATCCCCCACCCACATCCTTTGTCGCTTCAGGAAAATATCTGGCGTGAAACAAATGAACCCGGCGCAGAAACATTCCAAAGAGGACGGAGCAGTGAGCATGAAAGCCATTCGGAGCTCGCAGCTCCAAGGAGTCGACAGTCGGGGCCCCGGGGCAGCGACAGCGAAGCGCGCTAACAACTCACTCGTCCAGTAATCACGCGCTGTCAACGATTGTACTGGGCTCAATCACGTAGAAAAACAAGAAAGGCTTGTTTGTCCGCTCGGCTTAGTCGCTCTCTGGGAGTGCTTGACGTGACATAACTGGAATATTCCAAGTCTTAGTTGGATCGGGCAGATGGTTTTTTTTTGTTCCGCCTCAACGGGTTAGGTAGCTTCTGTTCGTCGCTGTACTTTTGTCACAGCTGGTGAGTTGTAGCTCCAGGCTCAAAGGTTGGCCCCAGCGCATTCCACCTGAAGCCACAGTTAAAAAAAAAACAACAGAAAACTCCGCGCCGTTCATCCTTTGCGCTTATTGATCAAACAGAACATTAGCGGTCCGTCTCTCACGCGTTAACTTTTGGTTTCGAAACTTTTGAAAATGAGCCATTTGTACTGGTGGAGTTTGAAAACGAAAGAAGCGGGAGGAATGGTTTGCATGCATCGCCGTGCATGAAGATGGGAGAATAAATACGCTTTGGCACATCGGGGCGTCTCGGAGCAATCGCGTGGCGCCTGCTTGCTGCTGTCAGCCACAGTGGAGTCCCAAGGTCACACACACACACACACACACACACACACACACACACACACACACACACACACACACACACGTGTCATCACTTCATCATGTCCCCCCGCTCTCGGCTGGAGTTCAACTCTGATACGATCTGGACTTTACCCGACATGTCGCCAGAGACCAGATGCTACGTTTTTGATAGCCCACCATTTTATTAACGGAGACCTTGGATGATTTTGAGTCTTTACCCTCCCGCTCCGCCCATGCACATCAGTGTAACTTCAAAACGTAACACTGCCCCTTTTTGTGACAAGGAACACATCAACTATGAACTGTGCGCAAGCCATTTTTTAAAAATTGTTTCTTTTCTTAATTCACTGGTATCCCGTTTAAAATAGCATCTTTGACGTCTATAGACGTCAATGGCAGTGAATGAGTGTGGTCGTGAGCCACGTGAGCATCAGCTGCCCGTCCCGGTATTAATCATTCAGGTGTTTTAAGGCTGGGCGAGACCCTTTCCCACACCCACCTGTTGAAAAACTTGCTCGGCAAATATACTCCTAAAAAAATATACCGTATTTTACGCACTGTAAGGCGCACCGAACACTTTTCCATTTTCTTAAAAGCTCACGGCGTGCCTTAAAATCCGGTGCGCCTTATGTGCGGTCATTACGGTAATATGTCGACCCCAAGATGGCTCCTTGCTGGAGACATGCTTACAATATTATAACTTGCTGTTGGTTCAGTGAACTGCGTCGCTGCTTTATTAAATAAGTTTTTGTTGCAGCTCCGAAAAGAGGAGAACTGTGGTGTTGTTTTTTTAAAACGTGCGCTTTATTAATGGTTTTCACAGTCTCAACAAATACAGGTACGTCTTGGTCCGTCTCCGTGCCTTCTCTTCTTCCGTTCGACTCCAGAGGCGTTCAAGACCGCCTCGGAAAAAACATACATTAACGATTCCTTCAATGAAACTACGAAAATTGAAAATAATGCATCAAAACAGAAAATCAAACGAGGAAATCACAAAATAAATTCTATAGCCCCACTACAGAATTTATTTAATGATTTCCTTGTTTGTGAATACAGTTCACGACAAAGGAATAAATAACAAACACTTCCGAGACAGTACAGTCTTCTCCAATTTACTGACATCTGATCGTTCTGTTGCTGCTACGCTCAAGGAAATGCCAAAATAAATTCTGTCAGGGGGGGCTATAGAATTTATTTAGTGATTTTCTGTTTTGATGCATTACTGTAATTTCAATTTGCGTAGTTTCACTAAAGTAATTGTTAATTTACGTTTTTTGGAGGCAGTCATGAACCACTCTCGAAACTCACGGAAGAAGAGAGGGCACGGAGACGGACAAAGACGTACCTGTATCTCCATCTAGTGGATGCATTGTAGATTGCGCCTTAGAGTCCAGTGTGTGCAATATATGAAAACAATTACAAAATAAGCCATTCATTGACGGTGCGCCTCATAATCCAGTGCGCCTTTAGTGCGGAAAATACGGTATATAATAATAAAAGGAACACTTGGAGTTACATTGTGCTGTTTCAGCGTTCCCTTTATTTTTTGGAGCTGTTTGTAATACATTCAAAGAGATGCTATCAAGACGACATGCTAACCCCAGGATGAGTCAACAGCCTTCCTATGCGTACTTACGGTCAAACCAAATTTGAACCGTGTTCGCTTGTTGTCCAGGAGATGTGACCCCGCCCAGCTTTTAATCACGACCTGATTGTTTGCAATGTCGCTTTCCAGATCACTGACGTGTCCTTGCCAAACTACCTGGTGGCGTCCTCGGTGGGCCTGCTGCCCACCCAGCTCCTCAACTCCTACCTGGGCAGCACGCTGCGCACCATGGAGGATGTCATCGCCGAGCAGAGCGTGAGCGGCTACTTCGTCTTCGGTCTGCAGGTCGGTGTCGTCCTCAAATCACACAAAACAATAACATTTTGTGGCATTTAGTCTTGAATTATATATTCATTCAACTTTCCCCTCGGGATCAAGCGTCCAAATGCTCCTGAAAATTTCTAATTTTAGCCTAGGAAGTGAACCTGAATTTGTTTGGGTTCAAGACCTTCAAAAACTGTTCTCCATTGCCGTATCCGGTGAAACAAAGAATAAATAAAATCCACAATCGAGCAATCGCGTCAAATTTTACAATTCGTTTTACTCCCCTGACACCAGTTAAGCACATTCAAACTCAAGTTGTACACTTAACCTAATAACGGACTTTTAACTCATTCAGTAACAGCCAATTCTGGACCAAGTCTGAAAAGACGTTTAAAAACGTCTTTGGGAGTGAATGAGTTAAAAGTATTCATTATTTCAGGAAATGAAAAGATTTGTAATGACGCCACACCCGCAGCGGCGCCTCTTGTTACTTGATACTTGATTTGCTTGTACAGTAAATAGGGGATGAAATTCGTCACCCTCCCAATTGACGTTTACTGTGAAACTGCCTCATACATAAAGAGACCTCAAAATGTTGAACCAATCAATTTCAAAATGAAAGCCTGCTAGCTTAATGCTAACGTATGATGTGAAATGTCATACACGGGCTAATGGTAATTAGCATCAATGTTCCTGGACAAGTGCAGCTCACCAAAATGGTATCGAAATCTTAAGTTATCGTACTCCCATCTTTTCAGATCGTGATCAGCATCGGTCTGATGTTCTACGTGGTGCACCGCGCTCAGGTAGAGCTCAACGCCGCCATTGCCGCCTGCCAGATGGAGTTCCGATCGTCGCACACAAACGGTTTGTCGTCGTCGTCCTCCAACCACGTCGGATTCACGTACTGCGGCAAACGTTTGGCGGCGGCGGCGGCTATCGTCAACGTGGTGTGACCTTCCTTGGCCTGCCGCTGGCACGGACCAATGCCGTTGGACTTCGCACTCGGAGGAAGAAATGCGCGGTAGGTTTTTTTTTTTCAGAGGGCGGGGGGGTTAACGATGGAGGGACCTCAAGAGATGTCAACGAAATAACACTTTGAATGTCAACTTGATTTGTTTTTAAGTGTCAAAACAAATGGCCACCTATGCACCTTCTTTCCTACGTCGTCAGGCTCGCTTTGTGTCGTCAACTGAAAACAAAACGTAATAACGAGACCAGTATTTTACGTAATCCTAATAATAAGGGCATTGTTCATATTTTGTGACTTTGTAGTTGAGTGCTTTTGAGTTAAGTGTCTTACTTTTGGGACGGCGACTCTTGGTTGAGACAGAAAACTCAGGAATGTTGGAAGTGTGCAAAAAGAAACCTTTCCGGTAAATTTTGAACATTAAAAAAAAACTGTTCATTTTAACATCTAAGTTGAAATTCCTTTCCTTTTTTTTAAGAGTGCAGTTCATTCCAGAATGTTGTTGGGAATGTCGGTAACTAAGCTAAAGGGAATTTTTTATTTTATTATTATTATTTTTTTATGTGCCATCATTTGTTTGTTTACATTTTTTCTAAATGTGAAGCGACTGAACCCGTGCAGGCTCTGCACGCATTTACAGTGCATTTACAGTAGAAGGAACTGCAAGATCTCCACTTGCTGATGATATCAAGTTTGGGCCTGGAAAAAAAAACTCCAAAGGAGTTTTAGGACCATCATAAAGTTATGAGAATAAAGTCAAAGAATGTAGTTGTGATTACGAGAGTGAAGTCTTTGTAGAAAAAAGCAACTCAGCATTTTATGGGAAAGAACGTTGTAATATCATGAATAAAGTTGTACATTTAAACGAGAAGCCTCATAATATTGTGAGAGCAAAGTTGTAGTTTTACCAGAAACTTTACAGGAGTTAGTAGTTTGTCGTTTTAGTCGAGAATTTTATGCGTGAACCGTGAGGGGAAACGTCAAGCAGGTAATTCACAAGGACGAAAATCGTACTGCTACAAGTTTTACACTCATTAAAAAAAGAAAAAGAAAAAATAAACAAAATCGTAAAATTGAATATGTCATAAATGTACGTGTGGAGAAAAAAAAAAGTCAAATGTAACAAAAATACGATTACTTCTTAGGACTTTGATCTCAAGATCATGAGTTCTTTGACATTTTATTTCTGTTCCGCTCTGATATTGCTTCTTTCGGGCAGGGGGTTGAGGACCGGAAGTTACTGCGTTTACCTCAATACCCTCACATTTTGACATATTCTTTTATTTCATTTTGTGGTACTGACAAAAGGCTGACAATCAACACAGGCACTTCAAAAAATAAAGAAATGAATGTGCAAATACGCCACCCCCCCCAAAATTATTCATGTTTTGACATGATCGCAAAGTGGTGTAGATGACACACAAGGGCTCCTCCATGACATATCCATCTTTTATTTTGACGCTTTTATTTATGATTGCTCGCTGATTGAGGCGGGCCCCGCCTGTCTTGACGTTAGCAATAATATTTTACAAAGCCTCATGCAAAAAAAAAAAAGTTAGACACTGATTTCATAAAACGAATTGTGGAGGGTGCCCACATTCCCGAGTTTGCGTTTGCCTTGTTTGCGTCCCGCTCCCAAATGAATATTAATGAGCCGTGTGATGATGTCACAACACCTTGTGATTAGCATGCACAGGAGAAAAAAAAACAAACATGTATTTATGACTTTTTAACTGACAAGTGCAAAGTATTTGATTTTTGGTGGTATCGATGCAAAACAAAAAATTGGAAGGAGGGGAGTGGGGACTGTCTGGAAATTTGTCTTAGTTATGCAACAAGTGACTCAAAGGGAAGACGACGCTTCCCTGGTCGGTATTAAGTGCATTACTGTACACACATGCTGTATTTTCTTCTACACACACACACACAATTTGACAGTGCATAAATATACAGCACGTACATATATACGCGGATATCGATGCACAGCGTGACGCTTTGTTCAGTGTTATTTATGAGACAGAGAAAGATATTAAAATGGCTTTTATTACAGCCTGCTTGACTTGTTTTTTTTCCCCTTGCTGGCATTCAATAATATATTTTGGAACCTACACTGACATTATCACAAAATAATCAATATTTGTATTACTTTGTCGCACTGCCAACTGGCCCTGCACTTTTTTTCCGCCATGCGGGCACAGCAGAAAGAAAAATGACAAAAAAAAAGAATTTACAATAGTTGTAATTTTACAAGTTTTCATTTATGCAATGTTTTTTTTCCCTTTACAGTATAAAGATATGATTGAATTAGGCAAAATAATGGGGGAGAAAAGATCTGATTTTGTTAGAAAAGATAACGCGGGGGGACTTGTAATTATGAGTAAAAAATTATTTTAAGAAGAAAAAAGTACAAAAACTTTGTGGAAAAAAGTTGGAATTACAAAAAAAAATTTGGGAGAATTTGCAGATTTACACAAACTACAAAAAAAAGATAAAAATGAAGATAGAAACTATTTTAAAAAGCACTTGTTGGGTTGTAATATTCAGTGAGAAATTATTTTTCCAAAAAAAAGTGCAAAAACATTATGATCTGAAAAACTTTGTGGAAAAAAGTTGGAATTACAAAAAAAGATTTTGGAGAATTTGCAGATTTACACAAACTACAAAAAAAAGATAAAAATGAAGATAGAAACTACTGTATTTTAAAAAGCACTTGTTGGGTTGTAGTATTCAGTGAGAAATTATTTTTACAAAAAAAAAGTGCAAAAACATTTTGATATGAGAAAAGGTGCAATTTTGCAAGAAAAAAAATATTTTTGAGAAGTCGTTTTCCTCAAATTATGAAAATGAGAAAACAAGCTAATATGTAATTTTACAAGAATATAGAAATTGTTAATGATTTTTTTTTACAAGAAACAGAAATGAATGGGGAAAAGTTATAATTTTACAAAAGACAGAATTTTAAATTGTTACCTTGCGAGACCAATTTTTTTCAAGATTATACAAGAAACAAAGTACACTATGTAATTTTACAAGAATATAGAAATTGTTAATGACATTTTTTTTACAAGAAACAAATGAATGGGAAAAAGTTATCATTTTACAAGAAAAAGACAGAATTTTAAATTGTTACCTTGCGAGACCAATTTGTGATTTTACAAGAAACAAAGTACAGAAAAAAACTACAAGAATATTAATTTTAAGCTTTTTGTTTTACAAGAAAAAAAGTTACAATTTGAGGAAAGAAATTTGAGGAAGTAGATCACACAGAATTTTAAATTGTTACCTTGCGAGACCAATTTGTGATTTTACAAGAAACAAAGTACAGAAAAAAACTACAAGAATATTAATTTTAAGCTTTTTGTTTTACAAGAAAAAAAAGTTACAATTTGAGGAAGTAGATCATATGAGAAAGTAGCGATTTTGTAAGTTTACAAGGAAAAACAATGTTATCAAAACATTTATTAAATTGTGGATTTAAAAAATACAACGATAAAATTATTTAAAAAAAGGAGCAGCGAGTAATCCTTCAACATTCGAATTTGACACTGTGGCGTCCTCTGGTGGTCATATTCTAATATGACACTTTCCCAGCGGGTCAAAACAACAACCATTAATGTGAACCAGTACTAATCCAAAAATTGATTACGTAACGATGTGCAGAAAAAGCAGCGGAAACGAAGGCAACGTTGAGCTTATTTTGGGTGGGTGACGTCATCGGTGGTGGTGGTGGTGGTGAAGTTGCAGTAGATCCCCCAGTGGTCACTGGTGAAGCGGCCGCAGTCCAGCTTCTCCAAGCCCACCAGCATCATGTGGTCGGGCACCAGGCGGGGCGCGTTGGGTCGGCACGCCGGCCGCAGGTAGATGCGGTCGAAACGGCAGCGGCTGACGTAGCGCACGTTCTTGTTGGAGTTGGCGCGGGTATCCCACGTATAGCGGCAGTGCTCCCGGCTCCCCAGTTGCTCCCACACGTCGCACACGGCAGGGGGCAGGCCCACCACTGTCACCTCGGAGTCGCGCAGGTTGGTGTCGCCGGCGAACACCACGCTGACATCGTCGGGCGCCTTGTGCATCCGTCGCATCACCTCGCGCAGCTGTGTCATGCGCTCGCCAGAATGCTCCTTGCAGCTTTCCAGGTGAGACGTCATCAGCCACACCGTAGCGCCCCTTACCGCCACCTAACGACAAGGAAAAGTCCTCAATTTGGGGAAAGTTTAACTTTATTCTGATTAGAGGACTAAAACTCACCCCCCCCCCCAAAAAATGACCAAAAAAAAAAAAAAAAAGGAAACAGAAATTACCTTGTTTGTTAAAATTTACATTTTCTCTCTTGTGGAATAATGAGAGAACCCAATTTTTTTTTTTCTAAATTCAATTTTCTTCTGAAATGAGCAAAGCTAAATTTTCCTCAAATGACAAAAACAAAGTAATAACATTTTCTCTTTTGTGGAATGATGGAACATTTTTTTCGGGGGCAATGTTATCATTTTCCTTTGGAAGAAATTACCAAAATTTACATTTTTCCTGAAATGAACTTGTCTTTAGCCTGATTGAGCTTTATGTAAAAAGGACAAAAAAAATCTATTTTTGTAAATGAACATTTTACCTCTTAAGAAATGCCAAAAGTTTTTTTTGTAAAAATGAAAAATGAACATTTTATAACAAAAGTCTCAAATCTTGACTTCTTGTGAAATCATCAAAATCATTTAAAAAAAATAGAATTCAAATGTTATTCTAAAATGAAAAATAATTTATTTTTTTCCCCCCTTTTCAAGTGAACATTTTCTTGACACGAAATTCTGTCCCGTTCGAGATAAGTGCACCTGCGCCATGAGCAGATTCCTCATCATCTTAGTGGTGGGGTAAGCCACGATTTGGCTTTCCAGCAGCTTGACACGCGTCTTCTTCAGCATCATGCCGGTGAAGTAGCCATCTTCGCCCCCTGCTCAAAAACAAAACATCAAATGAGCTACGGAGAGCAAGGATGGGATAACTACACATTTTCACATGACATCAAATGCAAAAATCAATACTGGCCAAAATCAAGATTTTGTTCACTATTTGTGGCACTTGGCATGTTTGCTTATTCCTGAGGCCAACATCCCAGAAAATGAAACTCATATGTTGATAAATAACTCAGTCGTATAATTTATCATCTTTCATGAACAGACTTTTGAATTCCCATAATGCATTTCACCTTGAATAATCGTGTAGCTGACGGCGCGTTTCTTCAAATACTGCACATAGGGCGGAATGAGCTCTTGCAGGAACACCACGTCAGGAGTGTAGCTATGTGGGGTGGGGCGACATTATAAAATATGTCAGATGTAAAGAAAAACGATGCGTATCAAAGGTGTCTTACTCTGCCAAGTAGGAGCACAAGCCTCGAGCGCGCTCAAGCAGGTTCTCTGTGTCCAGACCATCCACGTTCCATGAGATTATCGTCAATCCTGAGCCGCCGTCATCATCCTTCGTGGATTGACGGGACGAGTTGGGACTGTCTGTCGTTAAGTCGATGCTGCAATTCGTTCGATGGCAATCACATAGTAAGGCAGGAAGGTGCTTTTCACATAATGTGATAAAGTTGTAACTTACTTTTTGTTTTCATGGGTCACTTCAGTTTTTGACAAAAAAAATAAACAATGTGTGACCTTGTTTTTGTTTGTTTTTCATACCGACCTTTCTGCAACAGGAGCTTTCTCCTCCACTTTGTGTTCCTTGGTTGAAGGCTCCTGCTTTGAGATCCACTCATCTTCAAACACTTTCTCCATGTCGGCCTCGAAGAAAGAGTTCAGCGCTCTCTAGGCGAGGAGAGAGAAGTTGGTTTGGCTAATGTTGGGGGGGAAAGGGACCTTCTTTCCTCCGAGTGTTTGTTGAATTTCGGATGGTGAGGATGTTGGTTATCCAAATACAGGCTGGTGACGATGAACAGCCTTCGAAGGGTTTATTTGCAGAATATTCCGGGCAGCCGCGGTTTACAGACAATGTCTGGATCACGAGTGCAGAGAAACAAGGGATTCACAACCTCTTTATATCATCAGAAGGGCGGTACCGAAACTTTATGGTGAGGCATCAGGAGTTTCGTTTCTACAAAACCGATCCTTATCTTGTATTAATTGGCACATCCCTACGGCTATCTGATGAGGTAAATGTGGTTCAAGGACATATCTGGCTACAAAACTGAGTTTCATTGCGGACATGAGAATGTTAATACTTGCATGACTAAATATGGGCAGAATACACGATTCACTTAACGACAGATTTGAAACGAAATCTGAATCACCACATCCCAATGTGTACCAGACCTGGACGTTCCAGTCGTTCTCCGCCAGGTAGCACTGCGCCACGCCGCAATCGGTGCCCGCCACGCCGGCAAACTCTTCGCACAGGCGAGTTCGGCTCACTTCCACATCTTCGGCGTCTGACGTCGAAGCCATGCTGTAAAAAAAAACTTATAAAAATGTGAACATTAACCTTGTTGTTTATGTTATCAACCGCATGTTCCGCTGAAATATTTCCGGGTAATTTTGGCTCTAATACAAAAAACGTCTCATAAAAATATAAACATTGACCTTGTTGTTTACGTTAGCAGGCGCGTGTTCCAGTGAAATATTTCCGGAGGTTTTTAGCTTTGAGTTCCGAGCATGAATGTGGCGAGCGTTCTGGTTCGGAAACTGTTGATTTTGATAAATGTGTTGTTAATTGTTTAATATTGGGTCAGTATTTGTGATTCGTCACTCATATGTAATGTTTTATATGTCAGTCATTCGACCAATTTCCCAGTCCTGTTTCGCTACGGAAATATTTGATGCGGAACAACTTCCGGATTTCGTTTGACATTGCAAGTACCGGTAGTTTTTAATTTTGTTTTTTCATTTCGCTTGCATGGCGTCACTGTCTTTAAATACGCTAAAACAAATTATGCGAGCTATGAAAGACAAGCCAGGCTTCGACAGAGTCATCGGCAAGGTGAGTAATTTGTCATGTCAACATCAATGAAACTATCCGAGTCGGGTGTGCAGAAGTTGAGGCGCTCATGTCTTGTTCAGGTGGCGGTGGTCTCTGCGGCGCCGGGCAAGGTGGTGTGCGAGATGCGTGTGGCCGAGGAGCACACCAACGGCTTCGGGACGCTGCACGGCGGCCTCACCGCCACACTAGTGGACGTCATCTCCACCATGGCCATCATGTCGAGCGACAGGGGGGCGCCCGGAGTCAGCGTAGACATGAACGTCACGTAAGCTTCTGTTTTAACAATTTTGAATTTATTATACAAAAACAAACAAACAACAAAAACAAAGAAATCCAAGGGGTTTGGGTGTCTGTTTTTTTTTTTTTTTTTTAATTAATGGATTCATTCGTGGTAGCTATTTTTTCTTGACGTTGTCCCCCCCATGGCGTTTCAGTGTTTTATTTTATTATATTCATTATTATTTATTTTATTATATTTATTATATGGGCGGGTTGTTTGTCCTGATGAAGTGTTTTTTCTGGTGATTTGTTTTAATCGTAAATAATTTTTCTTTATAAAAAAGGTGTCATTTAGAATGTTTAAAAATCTCAATTTCTCATTACATTTAACACTATTTCCTTCTTTTCTTCTCCATGAAGTGTATTTACAATTTATAAAATTGATTGTTTGACTCAATTTCTTTTTGGTCTGTAATTTCTTGGGGGGAATGCAAAATGTCACCTCCAAATTTTTCATGACACTCCCTTTTGCGCTAAAATTTCAGATTTATTTCCTCCATTTTTTGAAAGTCAATTTTATTTAACTGAAATGTAGAATTTGTACTTTTTGTTTTCCCTCCTCAAATTTCGATTTCTTTTTTGTTAATCTTATTGCTATTACTTATGCTATTTTTATCACAAAATTATTTTTTTTACCCATACGTGTGAAAGTAGTAATTAAAACTGTTGTTTAAAATATTTATATAAAATTATCTTTGTACTTGTACATTTTTTCTCCCTCTTGTTTTCCCGTCTTCCCCGCCACACTAGTGGACGTCATCTCCACCATGGCCATCATGTCGAGCGACAGGGGGGCGCCCGGAGTCAGCGTAGACATGAACGTCACGTAAGCTTCTGTTTTAACAATTTTGAATTTATTATACAAAAACAAACAAACAACAAAAACAAAGAAATCCAAGGGGTTTGGGTGTCTGTTTTTTTTTTTTTTTTTAATTAATGGATTCATTCGTGGTAGCTATTTTTTCTTGACGTTGTCCCCCCCATGGCGTTTCAGTGTTTTATTTTATTATATTCATTATTATTTATTTTATTATATTTATTATATGGGCGGGTTGTTTGTCCTGATGAAGTGTTTTTTCTGGTGATTTGTTTTAATCGTAAATAATTTTTCTTTATAAAAACGGTGTCATTTAGAATGTTTAAAAATCTCAATTTCTCATTACATTTAACACTATTTCCTTCTTTTCTTCTCCATGAAGTGTATTTACAATTTATAAAATTGATTGTTTGACTCAATTTCTTTTTGGTCTGTAATTTCTTGGGGGGAATGCAAAATGTCACCTCCAAATTTTTCATGACACTCCCTTTTGCGCTAAAATTTCAGATTTATTTCCTCCATTTTTTGAAAGTCAATTTTATTTAACTGAAATGTAGAATTTGTACTTTTTGTTTTCCCTCCTCAAATTTCGATTTCTTTTTTGTTAATCTTATTGCTATTACTTATGCTATTTTTATCACAAAATTATTTTTTTTACCCATACGTGTGAAAGTAGTAATTAAAACTGTTGTTTAAAATATTTATATAAAATTATCTTTGTACTTGTACATTTTTTCTCCCTCTTGTTTTCCTTGTTAAATTTAGAAATCTTCCTGTCAAAATTTGCCATTTGTTTCTTCCTCGTAAAAGGAGCTGATTTTTCCTTGTATGCATTTGTGTAGCTACATGAATGCGGCCAAGCTGGGCGAGGACGTGCTGATCACGGCTCAGGTACTGAAGGAAGGGCGCACGTTGGCGTTCTCCACCGTGGACTTGACCAGCAAGGCCACAGGAAAGTTGATTGCGCAGGGACGGCACACCAAACACCTCGGCAGCAGCTAAACGTGTCCACATTTGCATTCCCTCTTCAGTGCCAGAGGACATGTAGAACACGTATGACAACTTTTATTTTGCCTTCATTCTCACATTAAATCCTCTTTGTTTCACTTTATTTTATTTAAACATTTTTGTAATCCATTTTATGCCTTAAAATCCTAACAGCTACAAATATCTTTATTCCAGTAGTTTTTTTTAACCCCTAAAAATGATTTTTTATGAAATTCTCCCAATAGTTAAAAATTTTCACCTATTTAAAAAGTTCAAACTTCTGCCTGAAATTGCAAATCATAAAAATGCTCAAAGTGATCACAAAACATATTTTAAAAAGCCCCGTTGCATAATTTTGGTTTATTTCGGGCCCCGATGAGATTTTTGCATGGCAGGCCGCAAAGAGTCAATTGTGCAATAACATTAAAAAAAAAAAGAAAAAGTGGAGACAAGTGTTGCGTTGACAATTTGTATTGATATATGCTCAGCAGTATTGATCAACAGAAGAAAAAAAAAGCCTCAAACCTTCAACTGGACACACTTGAGTCATGAACATGAAAAAAAAATCTTTGACAAGCAATTTGATCCAATCAAAACAGAAAATGTTAGTTTGCTTTAGTTAGGTGCACTATTGTTATTCTCATTGGTGAAGTAGCCCACATCCCAAATCAAACATCAGTAGTAATTCAAGCGTAACATAACCCCCCCTCCCCAAAAAAGTGAAATTGAGTCCAGCAAAGAAGAAGCGATAACGGCACATGTGATTGAACTGAACGTCTTACTGTCCGTGGTGTTATTACAATTGTGTTACACCCCAATGTTGTTTTTCCCAGAAATGACAAATAAACAAGACATAACACCTCTTCTCCTGTGACAACAAGGATTAAACGACATGTCCGTATTTCTCTCTCTCTCTTCCAACATAAAAGAGTTCCCGCCTGCCGCCGTGACGGCCACAGCGACCTATCACTCCAAATCAATGTTCGTGCAGGTTGACGGAAAACAAAATGGATGACTGAGCGGGAATGGGGCGTGGAGGGTGGGAGGTCGAGGGAGAGAGGACGAGGAAGAAGAGGGGGAAAATGAGAACATCAAAATGGCTTCTGAAGGCAGGACAGAGAGGGATGGAGGAGGGGGGGGGGGCGGCATTTCCCCCGCTTGGGAAGAAGCCTAGTCGGGCATGTAAGGTCTGAGGTGGTCCTCGACGTCGCCCATGCCCCAGCAAGTCAGCTGGTCCTGGGGGAGGTGCAAGCACAGGCTGCACAGCTTCAGCACCGTCGCCTTGCTTTTAACACCCTGCGAACACACAAAATCGAGAATTAAGATGTGCACCATAAAACACGTGGCTCAATCTAGATTAACACTCCCCATCCCTGATAAAAATTGGAAGCTTCACGGTGGTAGTAGCTGACCTGTAGGTGGTGTCGGTCCATGAAGAGAAAGACTGACTGTGCGGGGTTGTTCATGATCATTCCAGCTTTGTCCTTGCGAGTGAGCGCGTGCAAGCACTGCTTCTCGTAGTCGCCGTGCTGGAACTCAAACTTGGCCTGAAATAACGAGATGCCTTGAGAAGCACACGCATACTGACGTGGCATCCATAATTCACACTTTGCATGTATGTGGGGACCCCCCCTCCCCCCAAAAAAACATGCCATGAATTTTTTTGGTCAAAATTTTACAACTTGACCCTCAGAATATTCAAAACTTGTTTCCCGGGGGTAATCTTAGGACGTTCCAGCGCATCCCTACTGCCACTGCTCCGCGTGTCAAGTTCTGACCTGAATGGGCCTGAAAGGCTCATCGTCGGCTCCCTTCCATCTGGAGAAGAGCAGACAGACGATCTTCTCGATGTCGTTGCGTGGCCAAAGGATGAAGTCCATCTCCTGCGTGCAGCCAATCACATCCTGCAATAGAGTGAAAACCCCACCACTGCATCACTGCATGTTTTTCTCCAAAGTATGCAGCCAGGTCCAAATTTGGAAAGAACTAAAACGGGTAAGAGCCAACTGGTATTGTATTCTTTCATGGATCACAAAGTTGCGTCATCATAGTTTGGAATGCGTTTAGAGTTCAAAAATATTTAAACGGGCAATTATAGGGGGTGTTGAAGATTTGAACAATTTTTCAAATTGGCACCTTAGCTTGGTTAAGAACCCCTGCCAATAGATTTGGTTCACTCTAGTGTGAGCGTACCCTTCGCATGGACTGGTATCGGGGGGCATGGAGCTGCACCACATCCTTGTGCAGGAGCTCTATAGAACTCTCCAGGGAGTAGCGGGAATCTCGCACGCCTCGCAGGATGTCGTCCTCGTAGTTGTTCGTCATCACTGGCACCACTTCGGCCACCTCGAAGAGCGCCGACTTTTTTTTCTGTGAGAACAGCCAAATAAACAGGTGACTTTGAGATCAAACATTTGGACGTTTTTTTTTGTTGTACGCCCACCGACCTTGTCCTTGAAAACAAAGGCGATGTAAATCTTGAAATCGAACTGATCGGCCAACGATTCCCGTTTCTTCCGCAGCTGAGCGCGGAGACGATTTCTGGTTTGGTTTCGTCGCGTGGTTGGATCCCCCATCATCAGATGCGATGTGTCAACTTTCCTTTTTGACCCGCTCGCTCTATTAATTTTTTTTGAGGTTGCGCTTATAGTCGATGGCGCGCTGACCAAGTCCGTGAACTAGCCACTCTACAACTAAAAACTGAAACAGGTTTTCTAACCAAACACCATATCAAGTCATTTTTACGTTTTTTTTGGTTTGTTTTTTGCAAGGTGGCGGATGGGAGATACAATAAAGACTACATCTCCTTGTTGTTTGTTCATGAATCCATCATTTTAAGACGCAAACCCTACTGTCGACCGGTTTTCAGCAGATCTGTAAACAAAAACGAGAGCAAAAATGTGGCTGTTAATTAGTAGTAGTTTAACTTCCTGCAATAAAGACCCATAGCGGCGCTAGGTGAAAGCGAGGACTAGCGGGCTAATATTCGGTGGTGGGTTCAGAGTCCTTTATCCATGGCTGGCTGTGCTGGACCGGGAATACGGACGAGCATGGCGGGGAGACGTTGGCACATATGGAAGAGGAACGAAAAGACGACGAAGGTTGTTTGACATTTTCCTCGCCGCTTTGTGGCTCGCGGCCTACTTGCTCCTGGTAGTCGTCGTGCTGCTGGTGGTCATGGTCTATTTTTAGCACTCTAGCTAAGTCGAGCTAGCAGGCTAACCGTTGACTGCACAGCGATCAAAGCTACATTTTATCTGATTAGGGGGCCGAGTGACTTTTTTTTTTTTTTTTAAGGAAGGGGAAAGCTTCTCTGTTACGACTCGATCATCTTTCCTTACATGTCTTCGCCAGTGTTGCGCGATGCTAAAAAGCTAACAGGCAGCTAGCGCGTGAGCTCGACATTTTGTTTCTTCAGTCAAGTTAGGCTCAGTTGGCGTCATCAAAACTCCCGTACGGCTTCTCTTATTTTGCACGGTTAACTAAAATAACCACCGTCCTGCCTCGCGTTTTAATAGCTGGTAAGTTTGGCGGTTGTGGATCTTTTCTTCCGTCTGTCGGTCGATCGTCGCCCTTAAGTGCTGCCGCATGCCATGTCAAGATAAATCGACGGTCCAGCTGGAGTCCCCCGTTCTTTCAGTCGACTTGCGGCGCGGTCTGTCTCCCGGCGGCGGGCCCATTATTTCGCGTCCAGCGGTTTTGTTTTTGTCCCACACACTCGGTACGTCGATCTTTTCCCGTCGGTTCGAATTATGACTGTGACGAAAAACAACAAGCTTCGCAAAGCTCTCCTGTGTCGGAAAGCTTCTCCAAAATGGCAGGTCCGACGGCCACGTGACGTTTGTTTGGCGCGTCACGCCTACGACATAAGGTGACGGACATGCGGGGGTGTGGTTACCAACTTCGTCGGTCGTCACGTGATCAGACACGGAAGTATTTAACCGAGTGGCGCGAGCTTTTCCGAAGACGAAATTCTTCCTTGTTGACCATCTTCTCTCATTAGCAGTAAGTAAGTCGACCCCCCAATAAACGTTCGCGTGATACAATTGAAATCACTCTGTCGCCGCTCGTTACCTGATTGTAGTATTGCCAGCTGGCGTTAAAGTCATTCCAACTTGGCGCTAGCTTTGCTAGGCTATCATGCGCGACGAAACTGCCGACATTTTGTCCGCTTTATTCCCCATATTAAACCCGCAATGTCGTTTTCACACCAGACTTGAGGTCGACAAGATGAGTTACGGTGCTAAAGTAAGACAGGGCCAAGCCAAGAACAACGAGAACGCTAAAGTGAACCTCAAGGTGGGTAAAACGCGACACATTCTTTTGTTTTTGTTTTTTCTTTGAAGGTATAAGGGCTGCAGAAGCTGTGTAAACTCCACAAAACTGCAACAAAATGGCGCCGAAGATGGCTGCTAATTTGTTATATGGAATTCTATTGAATTTCCCCTTGAGGGATTAAAATCAGTAGTTCTATGGAGTCCAAAATCTTATTAGTAACGCCTGTCCTTCTAAGACGTTTACTGTTAGAAATGACTGGCATAAGTTCTTCATGTAACAAACAATGAAACTTTAAAAATGTTTAAAAAAAAACAGAGAACTTAAGTTTCTATGAAATGTACCCCAGCGGTGTTTGGAGGCCTCCAGATAAACGTTTACTTGCTTTAAAATGCAATGTAGTGTCAAGGCTCGTTTTCCCCTGACTCAAATTTTAACCACACACTCTCGGGGTGCCTTGGAGCAAGTCTTTTATATTCCCTTGTAATATGACTTCCATAAAATCAATAACATGGGTACCCCATGAACATAAAATCCATTTTGCTTTTATTGTAAATATTTTTCGAAAAGGGTCATTTTTGTTTTTTTTCTGGTTTTATTTTTTTTGTTAAACGTGTACTTGAAATTAAGGTTTGTGAAGTTGTAGATTACATTTTTTACATAAATCTTGCAGAACAAGTCTCTTACAATATTCTCAAGGTTGGAAATGTTTCACTGAAAAGTATTCCTCTACAACTATACTCAATGTTTACTTTATTAATTAAACCCCCTCCCCCAGACCATTGTTAAAATGACAGCTTGTATAAAACTACCAACCTCGTAGTATTTCAATTTTTAAGACTGACATTATCACTTCAGAGTTTTTTATCTCAAACACCGAAGACCACAATGAGTTCTTCCAGGCCGAAGCTGCAGGTCCTACAGCCCTTGGCCGTCAACAGCGATTTGGGGAAGACCACACAGGTGATTTTTTTTTTTTTATTAAATCCAGCAAATTAGTGTTTTTTTTTAAAGCCGAAAGGTCAATTAGTGGCTTTTTTTTTTTTTTGGTTCCAGGGCGTCATCCCCAAGCGTAAACAGTGGCTGGCCCAGCAAGATAGAGGCTTGAAAAGGGTGAAGGTGGAAGTGAAATCAACACAGACCGAAAATGTTTCCACTTTAAACAACGAAGCCTACGAGCTCATGATCAAAGGTAAGATGACATTATGTGTGCGTCCAGTAATTCTGAAGCAAACAAATTTTTTGTTTGTTTTGTGTAGAAACTCCTCCTCCTGCTTACTGGAAAGAAGTGGCAGAAGAGCGTCGCAAGGCTTTGTTCAATGTTCTCCAGGAGAATGAGAAAGTGAGTTTAAAACGCTGAGGTGCTCGTGTGTAGCTTTGCAGCCTTCTGATGCTCATTTCACCTTTTGATTCACTTTTTTTTTTGCAATCATTTGGCGCTTGTATTCCCCTCCCACTTAGGACTATAACAACTTTAAAAAGAGAAATTATTGGTGACACATAAATTTGTGGTGTAAAAATGCATCTAAACTTGTCTTACTTGTATTTTTGTTTCAGAGTTTGATTACGACAGCATTTCATTTAAATTTCCGGAAAAAAGTTGAAAACGCAAGCTCTGAAATGACACTTTGACAGATAATTATTTTTTGATCTTTCCTCACACTCGCATCAACCTCAACTTGTCCTTTGCCTTCTACATTTTTTTTTAATGAAACATTTTGAAAACTAACCAGCTGCACAAAGATATCGAGGCCAAAAACGAGCAGATCACTCGACTGAAGAGCGAGAACGACGAACTGCGCGAGCTGGCCGACCACGTACAGTACATGGCTGACATGATTGAGGTATGCACCTCACACGCTACGCTCGGCAATAATATATTCACGATATAATTGCATGGTTGAGTCACAGCAAAAGCTGCTCGTGTTTCTATCAGAGGCTGACTGGGAAGGGACCAAACAACCTGGAAGAAATCAAGGGTCTTGCACTGAATGAAGATGAAGATGATGAACATGATGTGGCAAAGGAGGAAGAAGCTGAAACTGATGAGGAAGATGAACCTGAGGAGGATGATTGCAGTCCAGGAGAAGCTGAGGAACAAACTTGAGACAAGAGGACTCAGTAGAAGCTGCAATA